ACACACACACACACACACACACACACACACACACACACACGGAGGCCACCTGGAACCTGGGCAGGACTGTGCAAGGTGGTGGCTTGTACAGAGGAGTCTGAACACAAGTCCACGTCCCAGCAGGGGTCTGGGAGGGGCGGGGAGGGAGGAGGGCCCCAGCACAGGTCGTGGACTTGCCGTGGCGGGCACCTTCCTGGGCAGTGGTGCACTGGGTCTGTGCTCTAAGCTTTCACAGCTGGGTTTCTCCTGGGACACAAAGGCGGTCACTCGCGTGCACGTGTCCACAGCACTCAGTCAACGTCCGTTAATACTGGAGAGATGCAGTGTTCCGCGGAACACAGAGTTTTGCCCGTCTCTTAGAAAATGATGTTTCTAAAACTGAGGACTGCTACCTTCTTAAGACTTGGAATGAAATAAACTTGATGATTTGGGTGTAACTCCTGGATAGCAGATCAGACTAAGGATGACACACCGCTGGTATTGCATTAGTATAAACTGATCAGCTTCAACTCCCAATAAGTAGATAAATCCTGTCTGTACTTTGGATAACAGTTCTTTTCACAACAAAGGTGTAAGAATAAGATATAAATGGTCATCATCTGTCCCTATTTCCCTGGACATCCCCCACTGCACGAATTCTTCTGTTCCATAAAGTAATTCCTCCAATGCACTCAGAAGTGAGGTTAAGTTCTTCTGTTTTTAAAAGGTATTCTATAAAATGGAAATCTAAAACCAAATAATTTTTGTTTGATCACAGGATCCTGACTTTCCCCCTCGGCTAAGTAAATACGGTTACCCTACACAAAGGCCTGACAGGAGTCTGTACCTTCAACATGCACCACCACCTGGCAGTACAGACTGTCCTTGCAGAATGCCAGTCATGTCACAGATTTAGCTGCAGCTGGGGGCGGAATTGCAGGGGAAAGTATTATATAATTAGGCTATAATTATTCTGGCATTGTTATAATGAAGAGCCTATTTTCCTAGTCTGCGAGTGACAGTCGCTTGCCTGCCTCTGGGGTGCAGGTAGAGGCTTTAGAGGTCCTCGAATGCCCTAGGAAGCTGGGGAAGGCCATGGTTCGGGGCCTCCGTGCCCCACCTGCTGGGCCCAGACCTAATATAACCAGGGAGAGTCGAACCACGCACACACCTCACTCCTCCAAAAAGGGGAAGGGAGTTGGAGACGGTTGAGGCAGAACCAGCCAAAAAGCAATGGGAGAACACGACGATTTGGCCCTCCTCTGGCTGTCTCTGTGGAGAACCCTTGCTTGCCCCCCCATACACCCCCCTCCCCCATGGGGGCTGCTCTCCTGGTCGCTCATGACTAGGATGACTAGGAAGGAGGCTTTTTACCAGCCAAACTGCAGCTGGTGTGGGAGGCAAACCCACCTTCCTGGGGCCACCGCCTGCCTGAGGCAAGTCCATTCACCAGCTGCACACTGATCTGTAATAAGAATTTTAGCATTTTCATTATGTCCAACTCCCCCAGGCAGCTCCAGTCGGTCAGGAGTGAGAAGTCATGGGACTTACATAGTGTTGGGTACTTCGAAATTCACCAAGTTCTGAGTCCGGTGGGACCCAGAAAAGTCTTCAGGGCCCTGGCTCTAAGCAGATCTCACTAGTGCAATAACCAGAAGCCCTCCTTCAAGCCCTCGTGCTAGCTGGCTGGGGGTGTTAGTTCAAACTGCCAGCCCTGCCTTCGTCCCCCACTGTGCACAGGCACCTCCCGACATCTGACGCCTGCCATCACGCTTAACATTGCCCAAGGAAACTCAAAGACTTGTTTAAAATAAATCGAGGAAATTACCTATCAAAGCAATAAGGTATCTGTTCATTTTTGTTGCAGATAATACACACACACTAAAAGATTTAAACCAAATGAAATCCCTCTTTTTCCAATTCTATTCATTTTGAAAACATTTTTTTAAAAAAAGTACCAAGCTTTCGTACCCTCAATTAAAAACAGCAGAGACCCCCAGGAATAGAAATAATTAATGTACAATAATAAAAATAATAAATTTCTGAAGTAAAGGCAATGTGATTTTCTTGAAAAATTCTATGAAGTTCTCTTACTCTAACAAATATGTGGACACAGAGAAACCGAGGGATTTACTTACTTACATATTCAAAAGCCTCTGGCACTATCCTCACCAAAAACTGTTAAAATACTTAAATTTCCACTGCTTGAGATTCTTTTTAAATACTTTCCCACCTAAGAAAGTGACCATCTATCCCCACAATTTATTTCTTAAAGCCCTGTGTCTACCCAAAGCAGGGTGAATCCCAGAAGAACGGGCCTGTATGGGTTTATGCCAATATGTTTTACTTCCACAGGACTGAGAATGGCAGAGAAAAATTAAATTTAAAAAGGGTTTCATCCCCTTTGAATACAGATGAAATAGTCAAGATAAGAAGTATAATTACAGTGAGATGCTATCTTACTTTCTGCTGAGACTGAAACCATCCTGACCTTGCAGATGGCCAGAGAGAGAAGCCAAGCCAGCGACTGGCATCCTACAGTTTCGATCTGCTGGGGACTGGCCTCCCAGGGGCCATAGGTTGGGTAGAGCCTCCTCTGTCCCCTCCTCTTTCTCTGCTTGAAGGGGGCAAGATGAAAACATCAGGTTCTGAGAGTGTGCAAGAGTGGAGCCTGAGCCAAACCAGGCATGAACTAGGACCCTGCCGTTCCAAGATGCCCCAGAAGCAGAACATCCCACTGCCCAGAGTTCTGGCCAGACTCTCAGACAATCCCATTCAGAAGGGAGCACCAGAGACAGCCTGCTTTGAAAGCACTCTACACCTGTTCAGAGACCTAAAATCAGTTTTTTAAAGATACCTCCTGCATGGAGCCCACAAACTGGCCTCATGAAATTGCTATCGTGGTTATGTAGCAATTATTACGGTTAACATAGTAAATATACCCATTGGTTTTCCCCTATCCATAACAATCCATGGAGGAATTTATAAATGTTGAAAGTAGTAAGTAGAAAGTAATCCTGAAAAGCTATTCTTAATCTCCATCTAATTGTACAAAAATTAAACAGTACTTTTCCCAAGATATAATTTTAAAAATGCTGTAAATAGTGGAAAATAACGTCAAAATAAGAAATGCTCCTAATTTATTTCATTATAACAAAGAGTCCCAGTTTAGATTCTGCTGTTTACCAGCTACTGTTACATGTTTAATGGCCTCACAATCCCTGTGACTGAGCCAGGAACCTGCGCACAGGACCCTGGGTGACAGACGGGCTCTTCTCCCGAGCTGTGAGCTTGCACCCCGTCTTACTTGGCTACTTACCGTAATTTGAACTGTGAGCGAACTTCCCCGTGCTCTATTTGAATCAGTTCGTTATAGCAAGCAAGGATGCTGCTATTCTCCATAAATCTCTGAAAGGAATGCGAAGATGACACATGAGGCATACACAACTGCTTCTTCAAGGGTCAAATAAAGACGCTTAACAGTTTTCCTACACTAGTAACTTACATAAGACAACTAGTGGATAAAATGAAACAAAACAGTTGTCAAGGTGTTTGAAAAGCTTGTTTCAATGCACGAGAAACCCAGAACAGGGAATACTGTACGCTTAACTCCCTTTATAGCAAAGGTGGGGGAAACTTCATGATGAACACTGACAGGAAAAGAAACACAATCCTGTTAATTAAGGAAACGCCTGTGCTCCACATTGCACTAGGAAAAGTCTTCTAAAACCCAGCACTGCACATGTTTGGTGTGTGCCACAGGCCAGTGGTCTCTTTTGAGGGAAGAGGCCCTTCCGTGCTTCCTTCCTCATCTTCTGAGTGCCCACGGCACTCTCTTCCCTCGTGTCTGTGTCTCTCTGACACACACACTTCCACTATCTAGTGGCTTTTCCTTGGGGAGCACCTTTGAAGCCCCATCTTTCCTGTGCCACGCCCTGCCCAGCAGGTGAAGCTGGAAAGGAGGAAGGAAAGGGAGGGATTCCTCCACGAACACACACAGAGCAGAAATAGGTTCCCTTTCTTCGGTAAAGTTAAACGTGGTTCAGGATGAGCTTCTGGGTGACGATTATATATCAGCCTATGACCATTGTTAGCTGATGCTTCCCAAGATACAAAAAACAATCTGTGGAAAGTTTTGAAAATGTTGGAATAAACAGATTTAGGTGTGTGTTTTTAAGACAGAAGCTTTAAAAGTAAACTTTTGTTGTGTGTTTTTTAAGACAGAAGCTTTAAAAGTAAACTTTTGTTGTCTAAATCTAATTATGAAAGTAATACACATTAATTTTAAAGTGTATAACATACAGAAAAATATAAAGAAAACTCACCAAATCACTGATAATGTCCTAAGCTAGAGATAACGTCATAAGCTGCAGACGTCATTAATTTTTGTTTATTTCCCCCAGGCTTTCAGTGTGTGTGTGATACAATATTCTCACTTTCATATATAAGAAATAAGTTTTTATATTTCACTTTTCATCAAGTCTAAGAACTCCCATTGCAGTGAAAAACAGCTGTCTGCAGGCGATGGTTTCTAAACACTGGAGCCCTCTGTACATTATTGATCCTTAATAAGTGTTTTGTAGACTAAAGATAAAGGAAGATTCCAGTGTCTTGTCTTCTAGAGATTTTCAAGACTGTAGTTAACCCCTATCTTTGAAATGATTTGAGTGAATCAAAAGCAGTGATCCTCAAACTTCAACATACTAAAAATCACCTGGGCCTTTGGATAAAAATTCAGATTCCCGGGCCCCACGTCCAGGCATGTTTCTCCAGCACAGAACTCCTCAGGTCACTCAGTGTGCCCAACGTGCAATGCTGCTAATGTGCGCTAAGCATTCTCAGGGGTGGGGAGAGGGAACAGAGCCTTCACTGAGTTCTCAAAATTATTTGACCACAGAAGCCTTTTGCCAAAGAACACTTGCTAAAGCTTTGGAACACTGGTGTTCCACTGATGGTTTGGGAAATACTACTTTAGTGGACCCAGCATGGAGCTGGCATCTTGACCTTGCTGTATGAGCTCTGGAAATCTCTTTAGTCATTTTGAGCCTGTTTCTTCCTCTGTAAAAATGGAGAAAATATCTAATTTCTCACTTGTAGATGAGAATGAAGTAAGTCACCCAGAATAGACCTGGACAAATAATAAATCTTAGCTCTCCATTTCTTCCCCAGGAAGCCTCTCCAGGGAGGAACTGTGTCTGACTGGCACTCCCAGCACATTGCGTTACACATGGTAAGTGCTCCACGAATCCTTGTTCAACTGGCAAAGCATAGTTTCAACTAGAAAAAGAGCGATACAAGGCTGATATAAAAACAGCTGCAATCACCCTTTGCTAAGGTACTGGCTTCTACCAGGCTCAGAGTGGACTGAGCATCATGCAGAGGCCACTCCCGCATAGCTAGAAGCTTCAAGGGAGCTGCTGTGGGCTCTTTCACGGCACAGTTTGTTGCTGGATCCCCACTCAGGGACCCAGAGGCTGAAGCACTGGCCAGTGAGCTAGCAGCACAGGGCTGAGTTTCAGCAGATGATTTCATACAGTCAAAACACCTCAGAGGCAGGAAATAACCTCACCGAAGGCAGAACCGCTGGCATACTTAGAAGGGTGCTCGGGTACAGAGTTGCCAAAGACAAGATTTTGCCCAAAAAAGGAGACCAGCCACCTGGTCTGTATCACAGTAACTCAGGAGGGAAAGCATTTGTAGGTGCAATGTGCTTCCCTTGGAAAGTATTTGGAGGCACCCTGGCCTAACTGGCAAAAAGCCCCGCTCAGACCCAGTATGAAAGACCTCCAGGTGCCCATGACAGGTCTCGTGGTTCATGCTCCCACGGGTTTTATTCTCCATGGCTGGCTACAGAAAGTGGCACTGTATCCAGACAGAGGGCGACGGAACCTTCTAGAGCAGCACGGACAGGTTACGAAACACACGAAAAGGATCACCGGACCTTCTTCCTCCTAAACTTACTTAATCGCATTTGAACCCAAAGAGGGCCACTTCTTCCCCTAAGCTTTTCTGTGAGATATGCAATCCCAGGATCACTCCAAACGACAATCTCTGCACCAGTCAGAGGTAGAGCACTGAACTGAAAGTGAAACTCCGAATGGACACCCGACAGCACCCACCGGGTCCTCATGAATGTCCCCCACAGGGTGTCACTGCTGGCCTCAGCAATGAGGCCCGAGGGGTGAGGGGAACCTATGTGCTCACACTCCCGGAGGTGCTGCCTCAGGCGGCAAGGACAACGCTGGGCTGGGGCGCAGCGGGTGGTCAACATTAAACAGAAGATCTATGAAACCTGTGGATGATTTTAGGTTATTTCTCAGAAAATGATCCTTGTAAGTAAAGGAGTCTCAGGCTTCTTTACTAATTTTCCTTTTGCAGCTCTGCATTCAGAGCTCAGAGGCATTCTCTAGGCGTTCTCATCACGCTACAGCCTGGGAGGCAGCTTTCAGAACCCAGGGCAGCCTCCAAGAGGCGTGATGAGGGGCACGGGGAGGGCTAGGCGAGTGGCGCTGACTGGGAACACTCACGTCTAGGACACGTGAGCCCTGTGCTGCTTGAATACTGTGTAGAGCACCTCGCTCCACCTGAGCAGGAAACAACCAAAGCTCAAAACTGCGGCACACGGACATTTCTGCTTCTCCATGGTCTACAACAAAAATGGGATTTTTTTTTTAAACCAGGAGTTACAATGTACCGTTACTTAAAGCACCCAAAGGAATTTTCGTAGCTCACAAGGCACAGGCGGCATCTTAATTCTGAAAGAACAGGGTGTATGACATCATCCATTTGAGATTCAGATGACCCTGCTCAAAAGGCCTGGAGATGCCAGGAGCGTCTGGTTATCCGGTTGGTTGGTACGTCTCCTTGGAGCGATCGGTCTTCATTTTCAAGCTGAGTAGCAGGTAATTCATGCAGTCACTCAGAGACTTTATGATTTAAACCAGGAGTCCATGGGATGCTATGGCCATCCTGGGCCTGTACCTGAGGCACACGCTGGACAGGCCCAGGCGAACCCGGGCCCTGGGGCCCACTCAGTGGACTTACCCGCATGCGATCGTACACACAGCGAATCTAGCCAAACGGACTGATTTCAATGAGATAACTTTGGGACTGCAGAATTTTGACCGGATATAATGTGTTTTTATGTCATTACATATCTATAGCTAAGATATATGAAGTTATGAGAGAAAAAGGAAAGAAGCTTGACTAGCAGTTGCCTGTTACCATCTCACGAGAACAGTTCCTTTCTTCCTTCACCGTCCTGGGCTTCATGCCCTCGGCGGTTATCCATGGATACTGGCCTTTGCTGCCACGGGAGAGCTAAGGATAAGATGCCTGCACCCGAGGGAGGTGCTGCTCATCGTCTACGTACCCTGTTGAAGCCTGCGTGCAGAAGCGGGAGGACTGAGGCCTCTTCATGGTCGCCTGATCTGCAGCAAAGCAGAAAACGTGGTCACTCAGCAGATACAAACCAGGGTCCCTCACATTGAAACGTGGAGAGAGGGCAATGAGGCAAGCGTGGCGTTGACTCTCAGGGTGACTTCCTGACCAGCATGTGCCCACAGGGTTCGCCTGCCATCAAGGACCAGACTCCCACGCCTGACTTCCAGATACAGAAAAGAACAAGACAGTGAGGAGAAAACTCCAGCGTGTGCCTGAGAGCGTCGCCACAGGTCACATGAGCCGCTCTCCCCAACGCTGGCTGCCCTTCAGAGCTGGAGGAGCGTAGGGGAGCAGACCCATAGAAAGACAATGCTCATCCCAGAGGCCGCTGTCCTCTCTGCCATCCCCAAACCTTCTAAAAGCACAATTCCCCCCACCCCCACCCCCAAGACCTAGCGAGGTCCAACTCTCAACCTGAGGAAGGCGACAGGCATTTAAGCTGCCGCAGCCGATAGCCAAGTGGGCAAGACGTGTCACCAGGAATGCCAAGTTAGAAAGGAAGGAGAGAAACCAAAAACTGACGATCGTCACTCATTTCATGGGAAGGTTTCGTATTCTGAGCCCACAGCTGGGTCTCAGGACTTCAGTCTGAGCACAAGGGGGGGGTGTGGCTTATCACAAAGACATGCTGTGCTGTCACGTCATGACAGAGAAAAGGTTTCCCTGGGACAGCCAGCAGGTAACACGGAGTATGCACCTTGGAAAACAGGGAAGAAACATGGAAGAGAGGGGGTTGGGGGGGAGCCGACAGGAAGCAGGAAGAGACATCCCAGTGCTCGCCTGGGACATCGCCTGGGGCATCGCCCCACATGGAGAAGGGGTCTTCCCTGAATCCCTTTTTCTCCTCTGGAGCTCGAGGCTCCCCTCAGCTGCCTGATAAATGAGGACAGGCACAAAGTGGCTTCTAGAGATATTAATAATGTTCTGTTTCACAAGCTGAGTGGCACAGACTCAGCATTCATTTATATTACCCCTCTCTCCATATATGAAATATTTTATTAAAACATGGGGGGGAGGTGAAAAATAATAATAAGCCACAACAAACCATAACTTGTCAAGGACAAGAACACATTTTTGCTGTATAAGTAGGGAAAAAAAAAGACTGTTTTGTTCTTGGGCCCATGGAATAAGCCGGGCTTGGGGAAAACGCCGTGCGGACTGGTACACTTCCAGTATCCGTGTCCAGGAGCTCAGAGTCCCCATAAGATAAAACACGGGCCAGAGGGCTGAACAAGAACTGCTGCACATCTCAGCTGCCCCCACTCATTCTCCTCGAGGTCCTATCTCCCACCGGGAAGGCGGAGTGGTAAGGAACCAGTGGGGACAGTTTCTTCACTTTCCTTGCCCCACAGACTGTGGCAGGTATCAAAGCGAAGAGACACAGCTCCTAACAAGAGACTCAAGGAGTATCAGGTAAGTAGAAGTTGGATTAGGCCAAAATTTTGAAGCCAGGATTTCCCACTGTACCAGCACGGCCCTGGAATGGAGAGTTTCAACTCTCCTGCGGCTCGGTGTGCCTGGGGGAGGAACTAAACCCTCCGGAGTTGCTGGCTTGTCAGCTCCTTCCTTGCAGAATCCATGCTGTTTGCCATAACGGGCCCATGTCCAGTAGATCCTAGGCCCTAATTAAGGTCTTACCCTCTGAAGCTGATGAAGGCCATTACGTGACTATAACATGTTTGTTACTTGCAAAGATTCCAACCACTGTAGCTTGTACAAACAACTTTTTCCTTCTAGATCTTTCATTCTAAGTGCTGGCCATTTCAGACAATAAATCCAGCAGAGCAGTTTCTCACCCCACAATCTTGTACCTATGGTCTGGTCCCTCTTTCCTGCCTTCCAAATTGGCACGCATCCTAGTCCTGCTTCTACCACAGAACTGTTCAGAAACATAAACTTCACAACCCTATTCTTGCAGTGGACTTAGCGCCTCTTGTTCTCACCCTGCCATTTGTTTCCTCTTAAGTGAAAAACAAGCATTCTCCCATCTCTCTTTTTTTTCTCTCCCATCTCTTTTTTTCTTTCTTTCTCATATCTTTCCTTTAAAGAAAAAAGATAAGCCAGAGTCATGTTCTCTCCAGATCTCCTCCTCCACAGATTTTATATTCATCTCTAGTTTATAATGAAGTAAACATTTTTTTCCTGAGGTGTATGAATATGTGGCAGCAGCAATTAGATATGCTAGAGAGAAAATCTAAATATTTCCAGAAACTTGCAAAACAAAGAAAACCCCCAAAGCAAGATCTAAGGTTGGTGCTCTAGGGCCAACCAAGGACATGGCCATTGTTTTGCCAGCTCCAAGACTGGATGACATCAGACAAATGTCTCAGTAAGAAGGGGACTGTTTCCAGCAGGGGTGGGAGGTGCGCTTACGCTTGTGAAACCACCGCGAGGATCACCGTGTGCTCTGAGAGATTCGTGGCCCGGATCGACCTGCAACGAGAAGGTGCCAAGTCAAACCAGGTGACCCGGGCTTTGCTACATGAAACCAAGGTGAACCGCTTCACACTGAAAATGGCACAAAATCAAATCTTCGTCTAAAGAACAAGTCAGGTGCACACTATGCCGCACACCTGAAATGAACACAATATTGAATGTTACCTGTAATTGAAGAACTTTGTAACAAAGTACCATGTGGATGTAAGGTGTTGACAATGAGGGACCTGGAGGGGAGGGGTATATGGGACCTGTGGGAACTCTCTCTACTGTCTGCACAGCTTTTCTATCAACCTGAAACTTCTCTAATAAAGTCTATTAAACTAAAAAACAACAAAAAACTAAACAAGCCAGAAAACGTATGGAAGACAATAAAGGAAGACGCCCTTGTGGATCAGGACAATCTCTTTGTGTTATTTAAAAGAAGAAAAAAAAAAAGGAAATTTTTTTTTAACTTCCAGGCAATTATCCAATAGGTCAGATCTGCCAATTTTCTACTTCAAAAACAGGCAAATCCCACTTAAATTTCATGTTTTCTGATTGAAATTCCACTCTGCAAAAAAAAAATTGGCAGTCCTACAATTCTCTAGTTATCAATTTGTACTTGGGAGGTAATTGGGTTGGATCGCTTTTTCTTTTAAAGTAGTAGATAGTTCAGAAAGTTGACCTTAGAATAGAAATGAAAGCACTCGCTGGCAGCTGGATATACACATGCAGGTTAAAGTGTATCAAATGGTACACAGACCCACCCCAACTTTCCAGTTGCACTGCTGTTTGTCCTCAAATACTTTAAACAACGGGGTCACCAACCGGGGCTGAAAAATGTTGCAATATGGCAACTGTCACCGCTGTGACCACCTGTATGCAGTTTATTCCCCAAGAATTCAACAGGATCAGAACATGTAAGGATGTAAACTTCTCAGAAAACGTGCTGGGAATGCTGCAGTTCCAATTCCATATTATTCTGGTCAGGGGTCATGAAATGGGTGAACTTTTAATAAAGTGACACATACTCAAATCTTAGCACAAATAAGCGTGCTTGTTCTGACCCATCTCCTTGGTCTGGCCTCTGCTTGTTTTGAGGTGCCTCACAAGAGAACCGCCATCTCCAAGAACAGAAGGCTCAGGGTGCTCCGAATAATTTGTGAAACAACATGTATTCATTTCTCTTTCTAGCTCCTGGGGTGTCAGATCCTCTCCACATCAACATGTTTGCACAACTGCTCCCCCAGGGACAGCCGGCTCATACTGTTTCATCTTCTTCAGCTCCAGAATTTCCTGACCTTTCTCAAAAAACTTGAGACTCCCCTCTGTGGGGGGGGAAGGTGGGAGAAAGTGGCCAGCTGCTGTCTTCCTGGGAAGTGAAGGTTCCCCTGGTGCAGGAATAGCTGAATGACAGATACCTTTGCAGACTGTGCCTCAAATCCCTGTGAGCAGGAGGGATAAGTCAATAGCCCTCCAAGGTGAGCACAGACAACTCCCATGCAGCACACGGAGAAGGTAAAGTAAAGCTACATGTATTCTCTATGTAGGAGCCTACTGGATTCTCAGCAGAAATACCAGTTAGCACCTAATGAAAGGAAGGCAGTGACAGAGGTGAGCTCTAATCTCTAAGGAAACTCTAAGCACTTCTCGCCTTCTTCAGCATCTTCCTCCCCAGTGAGGTGTCAAGAGCACACTTCTGGGATGTGTTCAAAGGGGCGGGCCTTAGGCAAGAGGCTCAAATACTGTTAGGAACATAACTGGGCTGGATCACACACTCAGCTTCTTTTAGGACTGGCTTCAGGTTTGGGGGTTGCTTCCTGCGGCTCACCTCTTCTTTCTCATTTTGCGGAAGGAACTGGCGTGGTCAGAGGGGCCTGGGCCTCTTCCTGGCTGAGAGGACTAAGGGGGACCCTGGGGACAGACCGGGCAGGGGTCCAAGGAAGTGTGTGAAGCTAGGATCCAGCCTAGCTCAAAAGCCAGGGATCTTGGACCACAGATGCACAATTGCTGGGAGCATGTCCCCAGCTCATCTTAGGGACATGTCCTGGCAGTGACGCATTCAGGAATTGGGCCATCCTCAAAGTGACCAGTGACAGTCAGTAAGCACACCAGCAGGTATGTACCTGGTTTCGGCACTGCCCAGCCCCACACTGTTTTCTGTGCCGCTAAGACAGACAGATACTTATTAGGAAACAGATCTCCATTTCTTTATATTCAGGAAGATTGTAAAGCTTATCTGCTAAAATGGGTCTTTGCCTGAATTAAAAGAATTCTTCCGATTAATTTCTTCTTTTTACATTTGGAGCTTGTCTTAAACCATTCTATCCATGCACCAAGGACTGTGGTATTTCTACCACAAAATCATGTCATTAAAATCAGTCCAGACCAAGTGAAAGTAGACATACTTCATTATAAAGACCCAATTCTACCCTGAGAACCATTTAAAAAGGAAAAATGTTTCTAACCACTAAAAATATCCTAATATCTTATGATACATTTTATTTATTAATATACATAATAAATAGGCAAATATTCCTATGCAGGAAGATAAACTTACTTGAGACCAGTAAGACATTTTAAAAAAGGTTCCTCAAGAAAAAGTCTTCTTTGGGAAACTGAAAACTGTCAGAGTAGCAAAGCGATGCCTGTGACGAGAAACTTCTCTTAATCCCTTCACTTCTCATCAGGGTACCAAGGGCTCTAAGAAGCCATGCTCCTTCCTACCTTGCATTTCATTTACTATTTTCGAAGAAAATTCCAGCTCCATATGTAACTGGAGTCTGTCCTGGCCTAGCATTTAATTAGCGACCTCTTCCTGTCCAGCTTCAAAGCATTCCACGTCTGCTAAATAGATCGGTTCATCCAGAGCGAACTCTGAGGACCGGGTTTATTTATGAACAGGCAGGCGTTTCCTCCCCAGAGCGCGAGGTTTCTGTAAACAAGTGGGGCTCTGGATCCCTGGAGGATTTTCTTCAGCTGCACAGTGGCTGCCTTCGCCCTGTGCCTGCTGTAGGATCCACCCATCTGTGTCAGGCAGGGAGAAATGTATATTTCACACATTTCTGATGCTCATTTTGGGGCAGAATAATTGAAATTAAAGTATCTGGTTTGCATCCAAACCATATCTATATAATAAGAACTGTGTGAATTTTAATGCTTTTTTTGTGAACTATGAGCAATACTCGGGGAAAATACCCCGCAGTTTTCAGTGGCGCCCAGCTCACACTTCCACATTCATTGGAACTTCAATGTAAGAAAATAGAAAAGGTGAGATAAATCTATAGGAGTGACGGCTTTCGTCACAGAGATCTGAATATACTGCTTAGGAACATCAACACGCATTTTAGAAATACTTGGGATGGAACTAAGACACCTACAAATGAATTTCATTTTAGGCTAAGTGGACATTTACCAAGCATATCAAATTAAGGAAGCTACCTGCACACAGCTTCTGCATCAAAGTTTCGAGCTTGTCTGTGATCGATCACAATAATTTCGTGATGTTTATCTAGAAAGCATTCCAGGGCGGACTCCGGGGTCCGGGTGATGTTGCATCTGTAACCGGCTCTGTCACAGGCCCACCAGAATCCATCACTCTGACTATCCTCCTTGGCAAAGATCAGCAAAACCTGGAACACACAGAAAAGAGCACCGTGACGGCAACCATCAACCTTAGAGACCGCATTAAAAACAGGCCTATGGGATTCTGGTAAAAATTCAGCCTCTGGAGAGAAGCTACCTGGGTTCAAATCCCAGCTCCTCCAAAGGCTTCCAGTGTAGCTTTGAACCAAGCATTTCCTCTCTTCGGCCCACAGTTTCTCCTGTCAGGTGCGGTAAGAGCAGTGCCACCCAAGCTAGTTGTGAGACTTGAATGAGCACAGAACAGGTGCTCGGTCGCTCTGGTGGTTATTTATTTTTAATTTCCTAGGTGGCTTTGTTTTTAAACAGTTAAGCAGTGAGATTATTAACAGGATAATTAACACAGGTTAGACCATTGTGCAGGCGGTGTCTGCGTCAAGGCACTTGGAGACCACCTCTCTGAACTCTGCACCTAAATCCATAGAAAGAAACAGGAAAGGAAGGGAACTTAAAACAGCCTCCAAAACTAATTCTAATGCCCAGCCCTTGCCAGACGCTGGAATGAATACTCATGAACCAGGAAGCTGACGGGGCAAACGGGGCGCAGTCCCACCAAAGGGAAGAAGGTGGCAGCACTTCACACCACGTTCCCCTCACCGTGCCTGGGCTCTGGACCCAATTCCGCGGCAGCGGGAAAGCCAGAGACAGCCTCACCGTCCCCTGAACGCGCTCATTTACTCATGTGCTTATGGTCTATCTTTTCAACTAGAACTGGGCTTCAGGCCAGGAAGGACCCAGCTGTCTCCTTCCTTGCTATACCCCCGTGCCCGCAGTGGGCTGGCACTTACTACTCGCTGCTCAGTAAATATCTGATGCGTGAAAGGATAACTATGTGTAGGAGTTTCTGCAAAATGCAAGAGGTATTTACTATTAATAGGAAAAAGGTTTCATCACAGCAACAGGTCCAATAAGAAAAACAGATACAGTGCCATTTTCCAGCCACACCCAAGGACAGATGAAGTTAAGAGAAGAAATCTCATTTTGGCACATCAGCATAAAACTGATGAATATTCTATTAAGATCCTTCCCTAAGATCTCCCCTAAACACCCAGTCTTTAAAACCCCTCAAAACAAAGGTCCCGCCTTGTTGGTTATGGCTCAGTTGGTTGGGTGTAGTCCCGTACACCAGAAGGTTACTGGTTCAATTCCTGTCAGGGCACATGGCCAGGTTGCAGGCTTGATCCCCAGTGGGGGGCATGCAGAAGGCAGCCGATCGATGTTCTGCTCTCACATATATGTTTCTCTTTCTCTCTCCTCTCTCCCTTTCCCTTCTTCTCTCTCTAAAAACCAATAAAAATACAAAAAACAAAGAAGGTCCCAGCGAGCTCTCTCCCTTCTGGGAACACACCCTAATCTTTCCCCTCCCCCTCCCCCTCCATAGGCATGGATCTCCTAAACTCTAAGGGACCCCACAAGGCTTGCAACCAGAGCAGCAATGGGCAGTGGCAGTTTGTCCCAGGCAAACCCCAGAACCAGTCCCTAAGCTCTCCTTTTCTCTGGCTTCCCAGTGAGCTGAAGCAGCCCAGCCTAGGCTCATTTCTCCACCTAGTCCTTCCTTTTGTTATCCTAGGACCTTCCTTGTTTCATTGTCCTCAGCTTTAATAAAAGTCCTCTAAAATTAAAAAAAAAAGAAAGAAAAACATATAATAGCCTCATGATGTTGATAATGCACTTACTGTTCTTCAGTCTCCACTTTTGGCTTAAACAATTAGGAACAGAAGGGTAGTTTCTTTTTTTTCTTTAAATATATTTTTATTGATTTCAGAGAAAGGAAAGGAGAGAGAGAGAGAAAAAAAAACATCAATGATGAGAGAGTCATTGATCGGCTGCCTCCTGCATGGCCCCAACTGGAGATCAAGCCCTCAGCCGGGGCATGTGCCCTGACCGGGAATCGAACCCTGATCACTTGGACCCTAGGCCGATGCTCAACCGCTGAGCCATGCAGGCTGGGCAGAAGGGTAGTTTCTTAACATGAAAAGCCTTTAAGCTAATAACCAATATCATTCTTCATGATGAAATATCGAAAGTCTCATTTAAAATCAGAAACAAGAAAAACTGTCCAACCATTACAACTACATCTTACAAATGTTTAGTTAATTGAAAATTGGCAATATATAAAAAATAGAAACAACAGTATAACAAACCTCACGTACCCATCGCCCAGCTTCAGCAATAACAACTCCTAGCCAATCTGGTTTCATCTCTATCCTTACCCACCTTCCCAACTCTTACATCACTCTTGCAAATCTCGCACATCGTATCTTCTCCTCCATTTGCAACTGTTAAAGATAAGGACTCTTCAAAAACAAACAAAAATAAACGAAAAACCACAATACCATTTCATACCGAAATCTCTTCAATAATTTCTTAACAGCATTAAACATCTGACTGCATCAACAATGTCACCTTTTACACTGCTTGAATCACTTCCTGCCTTCTCAAAGCCATGTTCCAGAAAAATAATACGTTTTGGCCTGACTGTGACATTTTCTTCTTAACATGTGGCTTGAACTCACACGCCAGTAACACCTGAGGCAGCCACACTTATTCAGGACTCTCTGGGCAAGGGTCAGTCACTCCTTGGTCCAGGGTGTTCCTGAAAACCTTTGGCCACAGAGCTACTTCTAGGAAAGAATGGGAGGTGAATCTTCCAAGAGAAGTGAAGGGCACAGCTTTGTGGGTTTTGATAGTGAAAAGAAACCCTTCAAGCGAAATTAACAAGGGAGCCACAATGAACAAAATCAGGTAGAATAAATTGCTCTGTGCAAAAAGCCAATAGCCCTTTACTTGTGTAGCTGTGCTATTAGCATGAGAAACTCGATATGCAGAGACCAGAATTCAGAAAAGGTGACGGAACTTCTTGTCTCTCATCGGTCTGGCTGAATTATAGGCTGCTAAACAAGAATCTCAGCACCGTGTTTCCTTTAGACCAGTAAGCCTCAGTATTTGACGAAAACAGTAAGAACACAACTGTATTCCCATGTTGGACATCGTTGCAGACATTAACCTCACATGTCTTACGTGTCCTTAAAAGACTGGAGAGTTCCACTTTCAGAAGAATAATGTCATTATTCCACAAATATTTCCCAAGTACCTACTCTGTGCCAGACACTGTTTTTAATTGCTTAGAGTACGCCATGAAGGAGATAAAAACCCCTTGCAGTGTAGTGGTGGAGGGACAAACAATAAACAGGCATAATAAATAAGCAAATGATATGAGTGTTGAAAGTGATGTGCTATGTAAAAACTGTGGGGCAGGGTGAGGGGTCAGGGGTGGCTTACTGCTGGCGGTCAGCGGTGGTTAGAGTAGGTTTCACGGAGAAAGTGACAGAGAAATGCCTGAAGGAGACAGAAAGTGAGCCAAGTTGATAGCTGAGGGAAGCATTCCAAGCTGAGGGAATAGTCCCATGGGCCCCTGCAGTGGGACACACGCCTGCTGTGTTCAGGGAACTGCGAGGAACCCAGCACGACAGAGGGGTGGGTGAGAGGCTGGGAAAGAGTCAAGTTCACAGCAGAGGGCTGGATCATGCTAAGGCCTTATGGGTCATTTTAGGAACTTAAACTGGATTTCACATGGAAACTTACAAGACTGCTTGAAAGTGGGGAGTTGTATTTATCACGCCTTGCTGTTTTCTGTATTTCTGATGCTTTGATGTCTAGAGCCTGGCTGACCCTGGAGAGACAGCCAGCGACTCGGCTAGGATTCCACTTTTCATGTGCAAACCAACCCAGAGCCTGTACCACCCCCCCATCTCTTTTATCCCGCTCTAACATTCTGGACCACTGTCCACCTGCCCTCTCATTCCAGGGCCAGGTACCAGGCAAGTAGGGACTACCCCTAGGCCCCGGACCGCCCTGAAATCGCTCAAACTAGCCAAACCTGCCTACCCTGCCTCACCCATTCCTCCCACAGAAACCACAATGAAGGCTCCTGCCCACATTCTCCCCGGGCTCTCTCTGCCTCCTGACCAACGCTGCTCTTCCCCCGGGGTCCTGCTTGCTGTGGCGTGTCCCCTCCTCCTGGCAACTAGCTTTTCAATGACATCTGTTGATCTGTTGGCCTCATCCTACCTGAACAATAACAAAACCTACATTTTAAAACAGGAGTATTTATATTATAAAAGCACCCACTAGAGAATTTCTTTGGGTAGTGTTTAAAATTCTTTCCTTGAATAAAAAATTCAGAAAGATGACTTGCAATAATCCAGCTCCTAAGCAAAATGAAAATCTTTTCTATGCCCTAGTGAATTATAAACTCCAAAGGTTGGATCAGCTTCCAACAGTTCATCTTCTGTACTTCCAATGTCATAAGATATCCCCACAGTTCCTTTAGTGAATGTGCAGTTTTTTGCTGGCACCACTTCCGCTGTGACATTTCATCCATTTGGCCACAACCACTTTCTTTATTTCAATAAACTTGCACTGACTTCCTCTGGCGACCTATCCAGAGCCTCTCGAAGGCAGCACCGTCCCCTTGCCCACGGTGGGCTGTTTTCTCCTCTAACCCCATTTACACTCAATTCAGACTTCACTTCTGCATGATCACTTTTCATTTCTTTGCTGCACTTTCATCTTTGTTGGCTAGTTCCTTCTTTCAGCGATCTGTTTTTGGGCCATGTCATGGGTATGGTCACGGAGAGACGCGGTGACAACACATTTTCAGTCTGTGCTTGAACTGAGCAGCAGCTAGGCAGAGACCCATCACAGAGATGCTGAAAAAAGTGATGTGACTGGTCACTGATCACGCTGCACATCTGTTATTTACGTAGCGGTTTGTGGACTGAAGAGCTAGCAGCAAAGCCCCTACTTTATGCAATTATTCACAGTTAAAACACTGATGTCCTAAATCTGAAACATGTTATTGGGGGTCTGGTATTATTTAACTACTCTGAAATCTGTGCACGTTGGAGCTGTGCAAATCGAGTGTTACCTGTACTCCTTTTCAAATCTGACTGCCACTACCTCAAACTGCCATGCAGAGCCTTCCTCT